CCTGGCTCTAAGCTTGTATTCAACTGCCCCACATTTCTGCAAAGCTCTACAAAGTATTCTGGAAGGCTAGGTGGGCAGCCGAACAGGGCTAAGAGCCGAAAAGACAGGAATGTGGCCCAGAGCAAATTTCCAAAGTGTAAGTTCTAGAATTTTCTTAGAGAGATCACCTTGAGGCCCAGACTAGAGAACTTTCTCTACATAGCTTACCAGACGCAGGGGCCCTGGAATGAGAATGGACACTGGGTTATGTACACACACACCCTGTTATGCTTGTACACACACGCACAGTCATGTGCTCACAGGAAACATAGCCTTATTCAAGAATGGGGATTATCTTTATGTCTGCTGTGAAGTGAGTCATCAAAGAGTTAAGGCCCTAACCGCATTTAAAGACGTGTTTAAATATTACTTCTCCAGTGCCCTGAGGCCTTTACTCTCACCTTATTTTTGTGTTCTAGTTAGTAGAATGCTGAGCGGCTAAGGAGCCGCTTGCAGGGCAATAACGGCAACACTGTGATTGACCATGATGCCTTTGCTTTGGCTTCGTCCTCCCCTCTTCACTGCTTTTTGACACTGATCCCCAACCACATGAGTTTCTTAGGGCCACGGTGACCGGTAATTGAGGGCCTCTGTGACAGTTCACACTAGCAGGTAGCTTTAAAGAACAGAGAGTGGGTTCCCCACAGTGGTGGAGGCTGGAGTCTCAATTGGGGTCTCAGCCTTGATGATTAATGCCTCTCTTGTCAGCCCTCCCGCGTGTACCCGGGGAACCCCGTCTGTCTTCCCCCGCGTGTGCGTGCATCTCGCGTCTCATCTGTTCTTTGTGTCGCTCAGAAGTGATTCGATTTAGAACCACCCTGCCCAGGTGTGATCTAATTAACATTTCCAAACTGGATTACATCCAGAGATAAATATCAGTTAGGCTCCAAGCACATATTCTGGGGAGGGACAAGCTTCGATCAATGACGCCGTCACGAGTCTCACATGTTAAGTGCATTTGAGTATATCCAAAGTGCTTCTCAACACGCTACACGTTTGAAGAGCAGGGAGGTGACTTTGAGAACCAAGGTGGGTCTGACCCGAGCCATAGTATTTTCAGTCGCCTCGTGTGCATGTGAGAGTTGGACAGTGAATAAGGAAGATCAAAGAGGAATCCATGGGCTTGAATTGTGGTGCTGGAAGCATTATGAAAGAACTGTTGAAGGCACTGTGGACTGCCAAAGGGGAAACAATGCTGTCTTGGGAGAAGGAAGGCCAGAATTCTCCTTAGAGGTAAGATGAGATGCTTCTCCCAAGTACTGGGGACATGTGGTCAGGAGAGACCAGCCCCTGGAGAAGGACATCATGCTCGGTACAGTAGAGGGTCAATGAGAAAGAAGGCTCTCAACCCGAGGGATGGGCACCGTGACAGCAGCAATGGGCTCGGGCGTAGGAACAATTGTGAGGCTGCAGCAGTGTCTTGTTCTGTTCTGCTAAAGCTGCTGTGGGTCAGAAAGAACTGGACTCCACCTAACAGCAGCCAGGCAGTACGAGCTGACTCCGTTGGAGCGCCTTCCCCGCTCTTCTCATACTCCTGCTCTCTGGATGTCTGGAGGGTATCCCATGATCGCTGTTCCTGGTCCAGGAAGTGGGGTGGAGCCCCCCGGGAAGCGGGAGCCAAGGGCGCAGCACTTGGCAGGATGAACAGAGTGCCCAGGTAGCAGATTCAGAGCCCCAGTTTGTTGGCCTGTGCTGACCGATGGTCAATTTCTTTT